GAGCTGCAGGGCTGAGTTGGGATGGATCGGAGGGAGATGCAGGGGCTGGGTCAGTGCGATGGGATCGGTGGAGCTGCAGGGGCTGAGTTGGGATGGATCGGAGGGAGCTGCAGGGGATGAGTTGGGATGGATCGGAGGGAGCCGCAGGGGCTGGGTCAGTGCCATGGGATTGAAGGGTCGGAGCAGTTGGAAATGATTTAGAGCAGCCCCGTTATGCTCCCTTCGCTCTCTGCCCGGAGCTGCTGCGCTGTAGAGTTTGAACTTGAGCAGTTTGCACCGGAGTGCTCCTGGTGTGTGCTCTGTCCGGGATGCACTGTCAGGGACAGGGAGGAGCTGTTTGCCTGGGGACAGGGCTGTGGTGTCCCCATGGAGCCAGGCAGGGCTGTGGTGGTGGTGGTGGCACCCTGGGCTGTAAGTGTGCCACACCTGTGTGCACAACCCGAGCTGTCCTGCACCCACTGCCATCCTCCTCCCTTCACCCTCCTCTCCACCAGAGCCCAACTGCAGCTAAAGAATAAAACTGCAGTCAGTCTCCCTTCTTAGGAAGAGTTAAATGGACCCACAGAGAGAAAGCAGGGCAAACTCTCTGCTCTCTGGCTGTGGTGGGATGCAGGTGCTGTGGTGACAAGTTTCCATGCATGTGTGCATGCCCACACCACACCCAGCCACACATCTCTGCAGGGATTGTTTTTCTTTTGGAGGACAAATGTTGTTCAAGGGAAAATTTTATTACACGTGTCAAGCTGCAGCAATATGATCCGTGACACCAAGATCCCATTAAAATAATGGGCAAAAAGTGGCCCTGCAAGGATATTACTTGTCAGGGATGACCTCATCTGGAGAAAAAAAGGAAAAGAGTAACAGCTTGATGGTGATAATGTTCAGGGGAGGAGCATGCAGTGCTCCGTGTGTGGTGAGGGGGATCCTTGACTATGTTCAGGTTGGAAACTTGTAAGCACCCACTAGAGCTTATGGGGGACTCCTGCCGTGAGGAGTCAGAGTAGAAGCTTCTGGTAGGCTGAGAGAAAGTCAAAAAGTGTCTGACATGGCATAAAAACTGCTGTTTCATGTCTCCTCTGTGTCCCCGGTGTTATCACTTGGGGGAAGGGAGAGGAAAAGGGTTAATTCTCTGGTTTGCTTACCCAGGTACTGAACATGTAATAGCTCTGCACTGATCACCCCAGGCACTGAGCCCAAGCTCTGCTGCTCATTTAGGAATACACCTTAGTGCTCTACCAGGGCACTTACACTCCATGCAGTGGGATATCTATGGTCAGTGGGATATCTAGAGGACAGCCTGCAGGAAGGAGTGGAAGCAGAGGCAGCATCCATGGCTCCTTCTGATCCACAACAGAAAAGCTCTCTTCCATCAGAAAGAGGAGGGGAATTCTCCCTTCGCTGTAAGAGAGCTATCACAGGCAGCAGCACCCACACTGGGGCCCTGGGTCTCAAGAGGTCCTAAATAACTCCTGTTGCTGCTCCTCCTCCTCATGGCCCTGCTGGCAAAAGCATGTCACCACTGTCAGATGGACTCAGCTGGAGATCAGATCTGCAAGGACACCTTGGGTTTTCCTAACACAACTTTGCACTTGTGCAATGTGGGTGCTGGGGAACCCTTTGGGAGCATCAAAGCCAGGACCAGAAAGCAGCTGACAGGAGACAGCCTTCCACTTCAGCTTGCCAGATTGTGGGAGCTCTGTCCCATGAAGCAGCTTTTTGCATCTATTTGTGTTCTGGAACATTTTTACATGCAAGTCTCTGGTACCTGACATCTTCTGATTGAAGGATCTGAGCTGAGCTGGAGGTGGAAGCCCACTCAGGTTCTGAGGCAGCCCCCAGCCTGCAAGCACAGAGCTGCATGCTTCCCCAAAGTCAGCCTTGCACCTGCAGATGATTTCTGCCAACCTGGCTGTGTGCCTGCAGGCAGGGTGTGGGCCCCAGCTTCTGACAGCAACACACAGAAAAGTGTGAAAAATTCCATGAGGAGAGGAAGAGCACAAGGGCAGGTACTTGGTACAGGAGGTGCAAGAGTCTAGTTCAGCCTGATGCTTGAGATGCATCCCTTTCATGCTCTGAGCTGGGAGCACTGCTTTGGGGAAATGAAGTATGAGAGATGAAAAAGGCAGGGAAATTCCCCATAACCCATGGTGATGCTGTCCCACCTGTGCTGCACACTGTTGGGCAAAACCTGGTGAGACAGGGCTGGTTTTGAGGCTCATCCTGCAATTGCCACAGCTCCCTTCCTTCTCTGAGCCAAATGACAGCCCCAGGTGCTGCCACCTCCCCTCAGAGCTGCTGTGGGTGGCCTCTTGCTGGCCACCAAGCCCCAGGGTTGATAACAGTCCTGCTGGGGAAGCCAAAGCCAGCCTTGAAAAATCCTCTTCCTGCATCGTCAAGCTGGCAAATTGATTTTCCAGCTGAACCTCTGAAATTGTTCTCTTCTGAAGAGATTATGGAATTACTCCTGTGCTAATGAATGCTTTAATGTTACGGTGACTAAAGTCTCATAAGGACTTTAACTGCCAAAAAAGAAAAAAAAAAAAGGCATTGTAGGAAAGGGAAGCCTGTGGTGGCTGTGTCAGACCTCATTTCACCATCTGGGGGAGAGGAGAGGAGGAAAATGAGAGGCAGGTGAGATGACACGCTCAGGAAAACAAGGAGAGAAAAAATGAGGAGGGAGGTGAGTCTTGCTGTGGTCTCCCAAGAAGCTGCTGAATCCATCAGGAATCCCTCCTGCATCAGTTTATCCCTCTGTCTCTGCATGCAGGAAAGGTAACATGTTAAATATTCCCTTTTCACCATCTCTCTGGCTGCACCCTGTGGCAGCAGGGATAACCCAGCCCCTGGGGGGCCTGGGCCCAGTCCTGGGGCAGGACCCCACCAAGGAGTTTGCCTTTTATTAGGGAGAGAATGTGCTTCTGAGGATGAGTCTGCACTGATCCTGCTGCTGTTCACAGAGCACAGTCTCACCTCTGCTTCACAAAACCCACTTTTGTTTCACTGTAGCTCCATGGGTTGGAACCAGGTTGTCCCAGATTTGAGCAGGAGCAGAGTTAACCCCTAAGATGGATGGGATGGGGAAGCAGTGCAGGGAAAACACCTCCACGCCACAGGAGCTGCAGTGCAAGGGGAAGGCTGGTTTCTATTTAGGTTAAGGGCTGTGCACAGAATGGGTAATCCTCTTTTCATGAATTATCCAGGGGATTAGACAGCTTTAAACTCCCCCAGGCCTCTCTGGCTCGGTGGGAGCCAGGGGGGCCGTGGCTGGATGGATGGAGGGAGGGAGGGAGATGCCAGCAGGTTGCTGATGACTCATTTGGCTGCTGCCAGCCTTGCCAAGCACTCCAAGAGGTCACCAGGGGCCCAGACACAGAGTGACACAGGAGTGACGTGCAAGGGGGAAAGGGAACATCCCAATTAGGAAAGAACACGGAGCTTTATAAATAATTGCAGAGACAGGGAGCGTGGCAGCAGGCAGGAGGAGGGACAAGAGACCCGAGGCAGCAGTTTTCCAAAGTGTAATATCCTTGCTAGACTTTTCCAAGCTGTTCCTCTAACCAGAAAAAGGGATGCTTTTGGAGCTGCAGCTGATCCATCCGAGGAGATGCTCCAAACCCTCCTGCTCGGGCTGGCTCAGCAAATGGGAATCTGGGCATGCAAGTCAGGTTCATCTGTTTGGAGGGGGAATGGATCACTGTCAATACTCCATTAAAATATTGAAGGGAGGCCAAAAGCACAGCCCAGGGACAGTGAGGGGGTGGGGAAGAATGGCATGCAAACAGGGAGGCAGGCTAGATTGCACCAAAACCTGAATGTTTCACTCCATTACGGAGCAAGTGCCCATAGCAGATTGCTGTTCTTTACCTAATGCACAGACAGCTGCTAGAAAAAAAGGAGTCCTGTTACTAATCTCACCCTGAGAGCCCCTTCATGCCACAGAAGAGATATTCTTGACCCTTTGCATTTGGGTCTAGGGACAAAGTTTTGGAGGGGAGATGAAGGAAAAAGGCTCAACTCTGCAGGCTGGGCTGTGGCTGACACCCAGCTCCACAGGGATGACAAGGGGGGCTCTTCCTCCTTGTGCCAAAGGCAGTGGAAAAAGCCAGCAGGGAGGACCAGCTCATGAAACACGGACAGAGTCCTTGTGTCCTAGCTGATTTTCTGTCCATGGGTTTGTGGTGGGGACATTCTCTTCCTGCCCTAACCTCTAGAAGCTGAGGTCTAGCTCTAAGCCAGAGTGGTTTGCCTTCCTTCACTTGGTTTTCCAGGCTGTGACTAAGAAATCAGTGGGCTTTGATTTCCCCAATTCTCTTCAGATTTTACTGCTGCCTAGACATGTAGCCACCTTGCCCTGGAGTAACTATGGACCCTCACAGTACAGCTCTTATCCCCCAGACCCAGCCTGTTACCCTTGTCTGGACTGTTGAAAAATCAGATTTATTAATGGGATAGTTGAGTGCACCAAGACACTTTATTTCCCCTGCATTTAAATCAATTTATTCCACTCTCTGCTGCTTATCCTACATAAGCTAAATCAGGATTTTGACCCTGTGTTTTCCCCTGCCCAGAACTGGGACAAACTGAAAGCCTTGTTCTCCTGTTCAGCATTTCCTCTTTTACTCATATCATCTAGAGGATGCTGTTTAAATAATGTCAGGGGAGCTTGAGTTGAAGAGGGAATAAAAGAACAGTCTGGGGAACAGGATGGGGAATTCTGTGTCATCTCCTGCCTTGCCCAGACACACAGGCAGAGTCAGCATCAACCGTGGCTTGTTTCTGCCTGGAAACTGGAGAAAGCCTGGGTGAAAGAGAGAAAGCAGAGAAGTGAAAGACCATGGAAAGTCTTTGCCTTTAATGTGAGCTAATGTCTTTCCTCCTGCGTCGAACATCCTCAATTTCCTGTTTAACTTAAAAGTCAACACATCTGTCACGTTAGCATCGCCCGCTGCCTGGTTTCCCCAAGCCACCCCCTCCCATCTGCTCTCCTCCTCCTCCCTCCCTGCCTCTCTCCCATTGCTCCTCAGAGCCTGGGGGTGTGTGTATGTGCCTGCACTGGTGTTTTCTGCTGGCTGAGGGGCTTTTCCATCGCTCCTGCCTCAGTCCCTGGGCGTGCTGGCAGCGGGATGATCGGCTTGGCTTGCAGAGCATTTGCTTCTAATCTCCGGCTTGTGGCATCCCAGCAGAGAGGGGCAAAGCTTGCAGGAGCAGCTCTGCGGGCTGGGAGGAGGGGAAATGGCTGGTGAATGGATGTGCTGAGAGATTTCCTAGTTCTGGTAAGCAATGATGCTTTTCTCTCTTTGGTTCTGTTCTGGGCAATCAGTGCAGGTGCAAAGAAATAGGGCTTAAAGGGGTGGAAAAGCAAAAGGAGGGAGCTGGAAAGAGACGAAAAAAATACCAGTGGAGCTCGTTTGGTTTGTAGTGAAGCTTTTCCAGGGGTCAATGCTAATCAAAGCAAATTAATTACTGTTAAGTGAGAGGCTGGGAATCAAGCAGATCAATGTGTGAGCCTGGGCACTCCAGCTCTCGCTCACAGGCAGATCCATTGCCCACCCTGTATCTTTTTTCCCTTGTGATTTCTAGCTTGGTCTGATATTTTCCATGTAGTCCTATGTGAGCTCCTACCTGAATGCTGCTTTTTCTGCCCTGTGCTTGTTATTGCAGGAGTTGTGGGAAGTAATTAATAAATTCCTGCCCCTGAGCTGATACATAAATCCTCTCAACTTTCCTAGCTGATCAACTATCTTCATCCTAAAGTCTGCATTTTTCACTGAAGCCAGTCCCTAAATTCTGCCAAGAGGTGCAGATAAAGATGTTTGGAAGGAAGAGGGTCTCACTGGACACTCTGTGAGGACCATGGGCTGTCTGATGTCCTGGACATGGGATTATTCCAAATGAGAGGTTTGCAAGTCAGTGTCTCACAGGATTCTCAAAATAGGTGTCCTGCATCTCAGCTGAGTGACAGCAGAGCTCTTATACCAGGGATGAATTTAGGGCCCTTGTTTAAAGAGGATCAGGGAATAATAAACCTAAGAGCAGCCTTTGCAATCTGGCTGTATTGAATCTGCAAAGGTCTGTACATAACAAAAAAAAAAAAAAACAAAACAAAAAAAAAACCCAAAGGAGAAATGTAGCAGGGGAGCTTTGGCAATTTTTCTAACAAGTTCAAAGATATGACCTTCTTGACAGACCTGTGTTTCATACAAAAAATTGATGCAGGATGTGGGCATACCAAACCATTTTTTTTCTAGATTTATTTATGACAAGCAGAATTAGAACTAGTTCTGGAGAACATTTCAGAGCTGACTTGCTTATAAAAATATTCCTCTCATGATGTATTCATGCAGAAACCTCCACTTGCTGAAAACTCACACATTTCCTACTCTTTGATGTTAGATGCTGTGGCAATGAGAGTAAGTCACTTTGGGGTTTGTGATTATTTTAGAGCAACCTAGACATTGCAAGCACCAGTTTTATTATATTTAAAGAAAAAGATTCTCCTCTCTTCAGCAGCAGGTTTTGACTTGGAGTTTGGTTTCAAGTGTGTGCAGGGGGACAATCTTGACTAAATCTGTGTGTTAAGCAGAGGGTGAAGAGAACACAGGGAACTGGAAGGGGCTTTACATTACTAACTTCCAGCACAGGGCAAGAAGGAAAGAGTGCAGGTGCAGAAATTGCCCAATTTGTTGTATTTGGGGGTTGATAATGTGAGGAAATCAGAGAGGACAGCTTTTGTGTTCTTTAACCAAAATACCATGGTTTGAAATTCCTTCGTGTTACCTGGAACATTGCTTATGAACACCAGCAATGTCTGTAAATTATTTTTCTTGTTGAAATATCTTCTAAAACCTGCAGTAATGTTGATGCCAGAGTGTCTCTGCTGTCAGTTTGGTGTTGTGAGCACTCATTCAGTCTGAGGTGCTGGCCAATGGTGACTGTGCTTTCCTGTCCCTCTGCAGTGCTGCCTGGCACAGTTAATTTCCCCTGTTTAATTAATGGCTCTGTAATATTTATAAAGAAAAAAACCTCATACCCATCTGCGATAACTTTGGTGCTTCTGCCAAGATGAAATTCTAGGGCCAAATGAATATTACAATATGCTGGATATAGAGATGTTTATAAAGTTCCAAATTTCCTGAGCCATCCTGATTTGATAATGGGGAAGTGAAGGACTGATCCTAAGCTCTGTCTCTGAACATAAACAGGATGGAATGTGATGCAGAATTAATGAATTTTATGACTTTAATTGAGTTTTAGTCTTTTCTTATGGACATTTGGGTTGTAAAGGATGGATTTCCCTTGTGAAAAAAAAAATCCATTTGGTGAGGGCAGGGAGAAATATGGGATCTTAAATGAAGAATACTCCAGATCATTCCTGTGATGGCACTTGGCATCAGTCATCATCTCTTCAAGACAAGGCAATCAAGAAGATGGAAGATGAAACCTTTCCTTGCCAAGGGAGACTTCCACATTATTTGATTGAAATTGGAATCCTGTCACCTCATGCTTGTCTCTCCAGGTTTTTCTTACCACATCTGCTAAATTCCCAGCAGCTATTTGTGCTTGAAGTGAGGCCTTCCTCCCTCACAGCCCATCTGCTCAGCCTGTGAGTTCTCCCCCTGCAGTCACGACTTAGTGAGCAGGGTTATGGCAGAGGAAACTCACTGGTGTAGGGGAGAAGGAAGGTGGGATTGGCTGAGGTGGCCTGGCAGATTCCCTTGGCTGTGCTGAACTTGAAAGAGGAGCTGGGTTAAAACTGAGGGAGGAAGCTCTTATGAATGAGATTTTAGTCAGAGAAAGGGAGCTGGGGAGCTCAGGCCACTTGGAGGACAATTCTTCTCTTTTTCTAGTACTGTCCCAGGGAATCTTTACAAATAGATGTCAGAGAGTCTCCAGTATCTAAGGTGACAACTCACCTGGGCATGTTCTTGACTGCCCTTATGCCAAGGAGGGAGAAGAAATTACAGCTTCTCTTGCTTGGAGGAGATTGAAATGTGAGAGTACTGTAGGTATTCTAATCTCCCTCATTAAAGTTGGAGGGGTCACAGGTCTTCAGAGATGTTTTCTGCTCACCTTCGTGTTTCAAACCTGGAGATATAGCAGATAGAGAGGGATGCAATCAAGATCTACAAAGTTGTGAAGTGGAAGAGACAGTGTGGCTGCTGTTTTCTCTTCTCAAATCCCAGACCCAGGCAATGTCAGAATTGCCTAAGAGAAACCAGGTACAGCTCCAAGACGCCTCTTGGCATGAGGAGGGTGTCAGGTCTGATGCTGGGCAGGCTCCTCCAGGAGGTGCTGCAGGGCTGTGAGGCCTCATTTCTCACTGATTCACTATTTCCAGCCAAACTCGGTGTTTTGTTGGGCTTCACAGCAGCTCTTATGGAAGATGAGTTTGCAGGAAGCTGGGATTCAGCAGCTCCCAGCGGGGTGATGGATGGATTTGTCTAAGCCCTGGTTCCCAGCACAGCAGCTGCCTCTTTGGCCTCTAGGCTGGGAGTAAGGCATGGTGTGCTCTGAGCAGCACTGCAATGTGGAGATTTTCCCATTCCTGGCCTGGAGATAACCCCTGTGGGGTGTTCTGTAAAAAGTGACAGATCCCTTTAGGATGTTTTTCACGTGGGAAAAGGGCTGTGGGAGCCATTCTGCTTGTGCACACGACAAACTCCACACCCCTCCTGCTCTCTGCAGGTGAACTGAAGGCAGCCCCTCTGCCAGGACACAAGTGGTGTCTCAGAGTTTGCTCCCACCATATCCCTCCTGGCAGCAGGGAAAATCCTGCCTCCTCCAAGGGACACTTCTCCTGCCCTCTGTGGCAGGTGGTCAGGCTGCTGCAGATTAACTGCTGTAATTATTGCAGCTTACAGGTTCCTGACCTCCTGAACTCATATCCGAGCCCTTCTCAGGCATGCAGGGCTCTCCTGTGTCTCCTCTCTGCCTTGACACTCAGAGGAGAGCCCATAGAGGAGGTGGTGGTGAAATTTTTGAGGAACATCACTTATTTTGCAGTTCCTTAGGCAGTCATGATCCTCCATCCTTGTCATGCAGCTCCTGTGAGTCACACTCCCATAGGGAGCAGCACATCTGGGGAATCAGGTTAGAGGCAGATCAGATTTGATGCCTCCCAGGGGGTGATTGAGTGTTTGGGAGACAAGAATGGAAGCCTGCAAAATTCTTCTCCAGCTGTATTTGGTACAGAGGGTGTGTTGTGCAGAATGGATAAGAGTTCCTACTGATGGATAAAAGTTCTTGTAGATTTATAAACTATCCTGGGTGGGTGGATCCTGGTGTCATTCTCAGGGCTGTAAATCCAGTAAAATAAGTAAAATTTCTGTGGCCTTATACAAGAATAAGAGATCGATGGGCGACTACAAGAGATATGGCACCTCATAATGCAGTAAAACAAAAAGTGATAATTCTGCTCTATACACAAAGTCCAGGGCTCCCTCTCACCTGATAGATGGGAAGAAGGAGAAGATGTGTGGCCACAAGAGGTGTGGGCTTTTTACAAATTGGCAATTGGTTCTCAAATGCTTTCAGCACACTACAAAGGAGGAAATCTGACCCAAATTCCTTTCATCTGCTTCCAGTGAGAGTGGGAGCCAGTGGGATCTGCCATTTCTTGTGGAGGTTCATTTGTCCTTCTACATCCCCAAACCAATGCACTTGCAGCCCAGCGCATTTCAGATGTTTTATCAGGACTGTTTCATTGCAGCAATCTAGCGTGCATTAATTATAAGCATGTGTAAATGAGGTGTTAAATTATTTATTCCTAGACCCGGATTGAGAAATCCCAGTGGTTTCTTCTCCTGACGTGTAGCTGCTGTGGAAAAAGTCAGACTTGCTGGCATTGAGGAGGAGATGAGGACTGCAATTCAGCCCCAGAATTGCTGGGCTTGGTGCAGGCTGAGAGCACCTGGTGAGCCAAGGCAGGCTGGGACCAGCATGAATGGAGCCCATGTCCAGTGGGGCCAGCACATGCATGACAAATCCTGCTGTCACCACTGCCAGACACTGGCCCTTGGGGACTCTGGTGATGCCCTGATGTTGGGACACCCTTGGGAAGATGGGGTTTTGCATTCTCAGAGCCAGAGGATGGGAATTAAGAGTCATTTTAATTAATCTTGTACTTACTATTTATCACTAATTTATCACTAATTTACTATTTATTAGTAAATAAATAATAAATTTATTTATTTTATAAATATATATTTATAATTTATATGTATTATATTAACATATATTAACATATATTATATATTATATATTATATATTATA